CAGCTGCGCCTCCCTCTGCATTGAGCTGGACCACTTTCCACGCTGGTAGTGTCCACATTCATTCTTCTGAAATACCACTTCACCCTCTCGCTCCCCGATGAAGGCCTGTCTGCACCAGGGCTATGGCTACAGTCTGGCCCCTGAGGCCTCCTAGAATTGTCACTCTTTCCTGGGGACCCCCACTTCCCCAGTGACCCCCTGACCCATAGGACTTGGTCACCCCCTGTCTCCAGATCTCTACGTTTAGGGAGAGCATCATATCAACTAGGGGCGTACAGCCCCTGCTGTGTCCTTGTGAAAATGGCCATGGTGGAATGGCTCTGGTTACGGCTGGTGACCTACCACGTCTCTCCAGGGCTAAGTGCATTACATGTACCCACCAATTCTGTCCTTACAGCATGGAGTCTGTTAATACCCCACTTTTATAAATGACAAGCTGGAAGGAGAAAATTAAGCTCAGCCAAGGGGCAGCAGAGCCAGAAAGCTCAACTCCAGAGCCAGCTGCTCCCCCATTCCCCTCCTCCCTACCCCTGAGCTTGGCAGGAGCTGTGGAGGCCACACTGCCTGCAGAGGGTGAAGGTCAGGCTGCTTGCCAAGGTCACAGGAAGGAGAGAGAACTGTGTGCAGGGCATCCGGGCACAGAGCAGCAGCCAGCACCAAACCCTCACATCTCCATTCCTCATGTCCTGACTCCTTAGCATGCACCAGCTATGACCACTACAGGCTGGCAACACCACCACTGAGGGTCGATGTAGGCCAGGCACATGTCTAGACACTAGCAATCCAGGCTACGGCAGATCCTCAGTGTACAACCAAAAAAAGAACAGGAAGCATTTTCCATCATCCTAAAACTGGTTCGTGGGGCCCCTGAATCTATCCCTGAGATCCTGTGCCACAGAAACCATGTCCTAAAGGTCACTTGTCTCAGTGGCTGCCCTCAACCACCTCTGACCCCTCTGCTCCCCGCTCTACCCTTCCGTGAGATCAAGGTGACCAAAGTGGAATTGATGATGCCACCTCTCTTCATCCTCGGAACCTAGTGAGGGAAGTCCCCCAGAGAGCGCTGCAGCTAAGAACACTGCCAGTAAGAGGTACTGGCACTGGGCTCCCCAGCTGGAGGCCAGAGAGGCTGCAGAGCTGGTGCCAACTGAAGGCTAAGTGCTGGTGCCCTTGCAGGAGCCTGGGAAGTGTCCCTGCAGTTGGTTTGCCTCTCTGGGGACTCAGGGGGAGGCATCTGCTTCCAAGAGCACCAGGGATCTTGCAGAGAGCCCTGATGGAGACATTTGGAAAGAGGCTATGTGTAAGCCAGGTGGCCCTGAGAAAAAGCTGTGTCCTACCTGGAAAGGGGCGGGGGGTGGGGGCTGTTCAGCTAACAGCTGGAAGGGTCATGGCTGCCTCCCACCACTGAAGGGCACAGATGCACCAAATTCACAGAGAATACAGCAGACAAAACCAAACCGAGAGGGGACCTTGGGGAGTGTGCCACTCCTTCCATGGCACCCCAGAGAGAGAAAGAAAGAGTGCACATTTCCCTCCCCTTCCTGGGAAGAGATTTGAACAGACTCACAAGCTTCAAATTGGCTGATCTAAGGCATAATGAGTGAACGTGCCTGACCACGCGGAGGAGCCTTCGCGAACGCAGCAGGAAGTGAGAGCAGGCTGGCTTTAATGGATAGAGAAGGCTCAGGGCTTGGGTATTGAGCCCATGGGGCTAGATTCCCTGGCAAACTGGTTCTACCAGTAAATAAGACCTTTTCAGACAGTACAGATGGAAACATGAAAAACTGGAAACATGGAAACTGTGGTAGCTGGAAATTAGGGGAGTGGGCCAGGCTAGATGGGACCCTAAGGAGAAGAGCTTTAGAACTGAGGTCAATCTGCATAAGCCTATCTTGGGGTACAGTCATGGGCAGTGAAGGATGGAAGGTGCAAAGGCTCCAAAGCCTTCCAGGGGGGGAAGAACCCCAGGCCAGTGAAGGCTAGTCTAGGGGTACTGAGGAAGTGAGGGGGGCGGGTTGGCAGGAACTTGTGGTGAGAGGAATACAGGTCCGATTGTAGAACAAGAGTCAGTGAGAAGAAACAGTGTGGCTCGTCTACCTTCCCAGTGCCTGGCAAGTGGTTTATTCCCTTTGAAGACGCGTTCTCTGTGGACAGACATTCACGCTGTAACTGTGCGTGTAGGGTGTATTGTAGGGGCAGAGGGGAAAGACGTCCTTGTCCGCCTTATTTTGGGCTGGGGTCTCTCACTGAACCTGGAGCTCACAGATTAAGCCAGACTGCCTGGCCAGCAAGCTTGGATATCCGCCTGTCTCACTTGTCTCACCTACCCCCGCCCCAGCAGCACTGTGGTCACAGATGTGTGCATTCATACCTGATCTTTACATCAGTTCTGGGATATGAACTCAGGTCTTGAACTCATACTTGCACAGTAAGCATTTTGCTGAGTGGACTGTCCCCCAGCTCCAGGAATTGTGTCCTGAACATGTGTGAGCACCTACTGCATACCAACCCGCTCCAGTGAGTGACGCCTGTGCTCAGGGCTTATGTTCCAGTGGGATGGGAGAGGGGTTGGATGAAGTAGGTTAATAGTACCTGCTGTCAGAGCCCAGGAGAACAAGGGAGAACAGAGGCCATGCAGAGCCAGGGTGAGGGCTGTAATATGAAATGGGCAGGTCAGAGAAGACCTCACCATCAAGGAGACATTGAAGCTGTATTTAAAAGTGGATAAAGCCACTGGCATCCTTGAAGCATAGGTCCTGGGCCACCCACAGAGATGGAGCCTTCCTGCTGCAGTGGTCAGGACAGGGACTCAGTCAGGTGAGCAGGAGACGTGTCCATGGGCGCAGTTTCTGCCCTACAGTCGCCAGCAGGCTGTAGAGTCAGGGCTTCTAACTTCTGAGGGATGCATGGAGTACCCAGCTGGAGTCTCCTAAGACAGCCCCAGGAACGTGCAACAGCCCAGGGACTGAGGAGAGGGCTCTGCCTGTGGCCCTCCTGTTCTATGGCACATGGCCCGAGGCTCCATGAAGCTGGCCAGCAACAATGCCCTTGGCTACCCCTTATGTTATTGTTGAGACAAGGGTTCATGTAACCCAAGCTGGCCTCGAACTAGTTGAAAATGATTCTGAATTTCTGATCCTCCTGCCTTGACCTCCAGGGTGCTGGGATTACAGGTGTGTGCCAATATGTCCAGTCTATTAGGTCAAACTCAAGGCTGTGTGCATGCTAGGTAAGCACTCAACCAGCTGGGCTAAATTCCAAGACTTTCGGCTATTTCTTTTCCTTCCACAGAGAGGGCTGGGGAGGCCACACAAGTGGGAGTCATGTCTTGGAGCCAATGTTCAAAAGCATAAAACTTTTTCCCTGTATAAAAATACTTGACACAGTGAGGTAACCCAGACACAGAAAGACAATTATCACATGTACTCACTCATAAGTGGTTTTTAAATATAAAACAAAGAAAACCAGCCTACAAATCACAATCCCAGAGAACTTAGACAACAATGAGGACACTAAGAGAGACTTACATAGATCTAATCTACATGGGAAGTAGAAAGTAGAAAAAGACAAGATCTCCTGAGTAAATTGGGAGCATGGGGACCTTGGGGGAGGGTTGAAGGGGTGAGAGGAGAGGCAGGGAGGGGAGCAGAGAAAAATGTAGAGTTCAATAAAAATCAATTTAAAAAAAATTGTTGACACTCCCACCACCCCCAGAAACTGTCCTGCTCCTTTCAGGTGGAGACTCCCAAGACCCGGGTCTCAGTATGACCCCCCCCATTCCATGCTGGGGGGCAACCTGGGTTCTGTGGCTTGGGTGAGGTACCTAGTTTACATGGTCTTCTGCAAGCAGGTGAGTACTTCCTGGCCCCACTATGGACATCAGCACAGATTGAGCTGTTTCCAGGATGGGACGTGCTGAACGTGCGGAATCACATCTGTGGGGGGATTTCCACCCATAGTGTGGCGAGAAGCCTTCAGCTTGCACATGTACCCATGTTCCCGTGTTTGTCTCTGGGTGGACGCTTTCACACGGTGGGGGATCAGGAACAACCAAGACTGGTCTTGAAGGAGCTCGAAGTCTGGAGGTCAGAAAATCGCTGATACTAGACACACTGCAGCACAGGCAAAGGCCCTAGGGTGTGAGACCAGGACCTGCCTGTAGCGTGGACTTTGGGGGAGGATAAAACAGGAACATGGAGCTCGTTTTGTCCAAAACAGAAACCTTGGGTCTTTCCGGAAGGAAGGCTTCAACAGAAATGACTCACCTGGACATGCCTTGGAACACCAGCCCAGGAGAGCAGGAGAGCAGACAGAGGTGCTTGGAGGTACGGTGGGAGGTGTCACTACAGAGCTAGCAGGTGCGGCGGAGCAGGGTGCCCTGTGGGGCTGACAGGGGAGATGGGACAGGTCTCACTGTCTCCAGCATCATCAGAACTGAGGGATTACATGTGGGTCTAACACGGAGCTGCCCCTCCTGCCCGCACACACCCTTTTTCTTCAGAACACCGATTGATTTCTTTTCTTAAGCATGTTACCCTCTATTTACTTTAGAGACAGAGAAAACAGAGGGAGAGTGACTTCCTCAGATTGTAAGTTGTTAGTGACGGAGGTGGGATTAAGCGCTCTGCCTGCTGCCCTCGGTGGATTTCATGATATTTATGTATAACGCTGTTCCTTACCTCTGCCACCCCGCAGGTAAACAGAGCTGATAGATATGAGGGTGACAGAGGCAGAGAGCTTGCCTCCATCCTAAAAGGCGACAGGAGTGCAGAGACTCATTAGGAGAAAATATTGAACAGGCAATTTTTGCCTCCTGCCTGTGATTGGAGAGCAAAACCCGTTCTCACCAAAGCCATTAGTCAAGTGGCTGCGGGTGACGGTGGGGGGAGATTGGAGAGGAACTTGGGGCCGGAGACCAGGACAGCACAGCCTGTGGAAGTCTACTCTGCCAGGACTCTGCCCTCGTGGTCACTGAGGGTTGATGAACAAAGCATCCACTTTTCCTACAGAGGGGTTAGGATTGTGTCTGGGTGTTCTTAGACAAGGTACTTACCCTCTCTGATCCTTAGCTTCCCCGTCAATCAGACGAGAGTACCATCAGCTTCACCAATGTTTGTGAGTTTATCCGGATATATACAGCCTCCATTTAGACGGTACAATCTTAGAGGAAATGCTAAAATTTTCAGTGATATTTATTGTTTGTTTATAAGCATGAGTGCACATGTAACTAGAAAAAGAAGAAAAGAAGCCAGCTGTGACAGTGTATGTCTGTAATCCCAGTACTCAGAAGGCTGAGACAGGAGAATTGCTGTTAAGTTTGAAGCCAGCCTGAGCTACATAGCGACTACCAAGCCATAGCAAGACTCTGTCAGAAGTAAAAAGAGAGACAGAAGCTACTGAAGGTATAGATGAAAAAAAACCTGGAAGTTTTTCAAACCCCACCACTCAGAGACAGACACACACAGGCCAGTGTTTTGTGTAAAATATGTACAGATTTGGAACCACAACAATTTAAAAAGAAGCAGTGTCGCTGCTGTGTATGCTGTTGGGAACTTGGCTCTTTTCACTTAGCAGTATCTTTCATTTGTTTTCTTCTCTGTGTAGCCCAGGTTGGCCTTGCATTCAAGGTCTTTTTGCCTCAACCTCCCAAATTCTAGGACTACAGATCTGTGGTACCATACCCAGGTGACTTAAGAGTAACTCGTAGGCATGATTTCAGGTCAGAAGATAGAAGCTGAAAGATGGCTCTGTCAGTAGAGTGCTTACAAGCACGAGGACCCGAGTTCAGACCCCCAGCACCCATGTAAACAGCCAGGAGCAATTGTGCACCCAGAAGCAAGGGAATGCAGAGTGGTGGAGACAGATGGATCCCTGAAGCTCATTGGCCAACCAATGAGTTCACTGGCCAATCAGTTGTGTTCCAATCAATGAACAAGAGACCCTGTCCCCAAACCTAAGATGGAGAATCAACTACTGAGAAAGGTGCCTGAAAGTAACCTTTGGCACACACGCATGTGTGCACACATACACAGATTTCATGTTTGCTCTCTCACTTGATCACTTACTTGATAGATAGATGGATAGATAGATAGATAGATAGACAATAGACAGATAGATGATAGATAAACATTAGATAGATAAATAGACAATAGATAGAGAGATAGATGATAGATAGATAGACAATAGATAGACAGACAGATGATAGATAGATAGATAGATAGATAGATAGATAGATAGATAGACAATAGATAGATAGACAAATAGAAGATAGATGATAGACAGACAGACAGATAGACAGACAGAAGATAGATAGATAGATAGATAGATAGATAGATAGATAGATAGATAGAGACAATGGATAAACAATAGATAGACAGAAGATAGATAGATAGACAGACAGACAGACAATGGATAAACAATAGACAGAAGATAGATAGATAGATAGATAGATAGATAGATAGATAGATAGACAGACAGATGGATTTCTCCAGTACTAAGGTTTGAACCCAGGGCCTGGTACACACTAGAAGGCCCTATACTCCTGAGAGTTATGTCCCCTGGCCCTTTTGCAGTCATACACACACACACACACACACAGCAAGAGGACACGCAGAGTTTACTAGTGCCCTACAGCTGAGTGGGCACTCCTAGTCCCCGCCTGCAGCTCTAGACTACCTTGCTCCTCTTGTTACAAGGTTTCAGCGGAATACCAACCCTGCCAGCACATGGTCATTAACATCGCCAGTGAAGTCAGCCGTGATTCCTTGAGTGCATCTGCCCAAAGTCCGCATTCCCTGTGACCTCCAAGGTTCCCTCCCAGTTTGCTCTTAACTTGACCTTTTCCAGTAATCCTCCACTTACATCACTAGATTGTCGCTTTTACAACACACCCAGGCAATGTCCATACATTGCCCATAGCAGCAAGACCCCTGTCTGATGATGTCTATAGGACAGATTCCTAGAAGAGGACTTTCCAGGTCAAAGACTGCCTGCTTTTGAAGCTCTTAATAGCACGTGACAAGCTGTCCTCCAGGGGACCAGCACTGATTCACACTCCAGCAGCAGGGAGCAGCACCCTGGACAGCGTGCACTTGTTAATGACAATTGAAGAGAAGGAACAGGCAGAGAAAGAGGGGCCTGGGCTGAGTAGCCCAGGGGAGTCCCCAGACAGAAGCCAACCTGACCAGGTAGCAGAGTGCAGGGACAGCCCCGGGGCACAGCCCCCTGGCAACTGTGACTGATGAAACCCTAAAGCGAAGGTTCAGCGGAGACTGAGAACAAAGCCGGAGTGGAGGAGACTCTCCGCTCCGTTCCAATTAGCTGCTTCTCCAGAATGGAGAGCAGTCGGCCACAGATGCCATGGTCGAAACCCAAACTGCCACAGCCCTGCCCTGGTTGCTACCCAGTTCCTTTGTGCTGCCCCACAGCCTAGAAGGTGGATCTGAGAGCTAAGGGAGCTGACCACAGAGGACCCCAGAGCCCAGGCCAGGTCTCCTGATCTGAGACACAGTGAAGGGCAGAGAAATGGCAGGTGCCCACTAGGGACATACCTGCCTTTCCTCACTGCCTCTGCATGCCTGTCTGCCATTGCTGCCACCTTCTCCTAGCCTTCCTCCTTCTTTTTCCTTTCCTCCTTCCCCTCCTCCTTTTCTCTCTAGCTTTAAAAACCAAACTCTATTTCAAGCATGAAGGAAGATATATTTGAGGCCTTGCTTCACACACAGAAAATGGAGAGCAGGTTGTCTCTGGTGCTGCAGCCTGGGACTGCAGCTCAAGGGTAGAAAACTTGCCTAGTGTGTGCAAGACCCAGGGCTCCACCCCCAGTACTGCAACGAGTGCACGAAGAAGCATGAGTTAAAAAGCACGCAGTGCTCAGATCATGGGAACTTCATACTGGTACAAAAGGAAGGATCCAAGCCTACAATGCTGGCACATGCCTATAATCCCAGCATGTATGAGGCTAGCCTGGGCTATGTACTGAGACCAGTTTTTTTTAAATAAAAGGGAGGGGGTGTTATGCAGAGGCCAAGTTTCATGAACAAGGATCCAGTTAAACAAAAGCTGGCTAGATATTCACATCCCAGATCTCAATTTTAAAAAGCAACCCTTTGAGGTTAGAGAAATCAGGGCTGATAAGCAAGAGAGTTGTCTGCCTTTCCCCATCTTGTCTACACACACACACACACACACACACACACACACACAATGTTTTGGTTTCAAAGACCATTTGCTATCATTTTCTTCAATACCTTGTGTTAATTTCTTCATGCCTCAGTTTCCCTGCCTAGTTAATATACAGTCAGCAGTGTGTTCTCTTGAGTTCTTTGGAGACATCCCCCAAATAGGTGCTCAGGGGCAGTATTTGTCCTGGGAGGTGACCTCAGAGCAGTGTGGCAGTACGAGATTGAGAAGGAAAGCAGTGAGCCTGAGTCACCACTGCAGGCAGCAGGGCCTTCCTCACTGGGGACACCAGAAGGAGTCACCAAGGGGCAAGGGGTCTGCAGAATTTGTCACCAAACTCTGACAGTCCACGACAAGAGAACTGGGGAAGCATGAGCCCCTCCCCCCACCAACACTCTAGACTGGGCCTTGCCGGTGGGTGGGATATAACAATTTTCATCTCCCCTTACATAGACAAGAGAAGAAAGGTGCAGGAAGGGCTGTATGGAGACACTAGGCTGTGCACCAGGCTGGCCTGCTCCCTGATCCACCAGGGAAAGACTACATTTCCCAACATCCTTGCAATTTGTTAGGGTTGTGTGACCAGCCATGGCCAATGGGCTAGGAGAGGAAGTTAGGAACAACACATCCTGTCCAATCCATAGGCCCCTCCCCACAGTTTTCCACACTTTCTCTTCACTGGTCAGCGAGGTCAGCAAATGTTTTCTTTAAGCTTTCTGAAGCACACAGTCTCTATCACAGACAGCCAACTTGGCTGCGCCATGATAAAGCAGATGCTGACAAAATGGAATGGAATGACGTGACTGTGTCTCGACAAAACTTTATTTACAAAAAAAAAAATCACAGGTTACAAACTTCCATCATAGAAGCTGTCAGAACCAAGGGTGGGAGGAACCCGGGGGCCACACGGCTTCTTTGAGTGATACTCACCAGGCTCAACCTAGCAGGCTTCCCCTCAATTGTGCTCTGAGAAAATCCTGTTCAGCCCCTGCCAAGCAGGGGTAGTAACTGGTAAGGAAGGCTTCACAGAGGAGGTGGCATTCACATTCAACCTCAACAAATGTATCACCGTGCTGGTGGGCAAGATGAGAAAGGGCATCCTGAGGGAAGACAGAAGTGTGTGCTCCAGCTGGCAGGGAAATAGGGTGTCGTGTTTGCCTTTCATAGGGAACATAAAAAGTGGTCACCAGGAAATGGAAACTGGAAACTAAATTCTGAATGACAGAGCAAGGGAGAAGGGTGGGACACCGTGGGCTGGTGCTTCTAACACCTGGTATTCCCCTCCATTTCTGGACCTCCAGCCAGGTGTCAACCTGGTGCCCCTGCTTAAACCCCACCCTTCCTTCAGGAATGAAGAAACCTCCTGCTTGCTCTGTGATGCAGAGGCCATAGGCCTTTCAGCCAGAGCAGAAGCTTTGAGATGACGGTCTCGAGTTCAGATCCTGGCTGCCAATAAGAGAAGCCAGTGAACAAATCAGTGACTATAAACAAACCTAATGAACTGGGTTTGGATATCCCCCCTTCTAGACGCTACTTGACAACGGTTCTCAAAATGAGAAGTGACTTCTGGGCAAAGCTCAAGGCCAGGATCACTACCAGGAAGATGGTTTAACCAAGGGTGTGCCTAGGAAACCTTTTGTCAAGACCTCACCAAGACTCAAGGCAGTGCCTTCTAGACGCTTCCAAAGAGACAGAGAACTGTCTAAGCATGTATTAAAGACCCCTTCTGTTAGACAATAGAACTGTCCCTTGTCTACCCAGGAACTCTTCCCCGGTGGTGTGACCGTGCCTATACCTGACTTAGATGACAAGATAAAGACAGGCCTGGGGGAAGAGATGTGTGCTTTTCACATGCGGGACTGATGGCAGTGTGTGGGGGCACCCACGAGAAACTCCACCACCTGCCAGGCTTCAGAACAGGGGTTCCTTCCCTTGCAGTCTTGGGGTTCAGAAGTCAGGTAACTGTGAGCTCAGGATCGTTTCTCCCGAGTCTCTCTCCTTGACTTGTGGTGGCGTCCTCTTCCTACATCTCTGCATGACCTCCCTCCATGCAGGCCTATGTCCTAGTCTTCTTTGTGTGTCTCTGTGCCTACACACGTGCACGCACTAGCTAACACGGGACGGTCAGAGGGCAGTCTTGAGTTGTCAGTTTTTGACTTCTACTTGATTTGAAAGCCACATTGGAACCAGGCCTCCATTCTCTATCCTGTCAGCTGTATCCCCCACCTAACTCTTCTCTAGGACACTAGCCCCCATCCTCCCCCCCAAAAAACTAATCATATTAGCTGTGGGTCCTTCCATCTGCTCTCTTGGGGGGTCTGTGACTTCCCATGCCACTGCCTCTGTTTCCAGCATATTCTCCGCAGGATTTTCCCTTCTCTGTCTTCATTCAAGTACTTTTCTTCCTTCCCTGATGACCCACCCCTGGGGGAGCTTCGTTAATTTCTCTCCTCCCCCTGTTGCCCTCTCCTTGGCCCCTAGCTCATCACATCCATCGGCTCCCTGCACCTGTTTTAGCCTCTGCCTCCTTCTCATCCCCTCCCAGGAGGGTGGCATCCCTTCCTCAAACTGAGCTGTATCGCCGTCCCCTTGCCTCCGAGCTGCAGCACCGGAGGGCGGAGGCTCCCAGAGGGCTAGGTTCAGGTCATTTTATTTTTACAACGTCCTTGGGCTGATCAGCGTGTTTGTGAGTTTGTGCAGGGTGGGGTTATGTGCTGGGTGGGAAGGGACCAAGACTGCAAATAGCACTTGAAATTAATTTAGGTCAGTTTCTGTGTGATGTCCCCCAAGGGTGCTGGTATGGGAAAGCCTGTCGTCTGGGGCTCAGCTCTGTAGAGGCGGCTGCTGTTGCCCTTGGGGAAGATGCTCACAGAAGACTAGGCGGAAGCATTGGGCAGGAGAAATGGATCAACTACTCTTCTGGTGCCGGGGGTGGGGACTCCCTTCTCCTGACCTCTGGGTCTGAGGACCCTGATGCTGTGTCACAGCTGGTAGGTGGAAGAGACAATCTCATTCCTTATAAAATCCAAGACCCTCATCTTGTACCCAGCTCTGCTCTGTGTTCTTAGATAAACTGCTTGACTTCTTTGGTCCTCTGTAGTCCTTGTTTTAAAAAGGGAGGAAGGGCACTATTGCCCAAAGAGAGGAGGGTCAAAGGCATGGCACTATTGCCCAGAGAAGGGTCAAAGGCATCTGTAAAAGAGAAAGGAATGGCTATGCTAATCAACTTCCTAGTGTTAGGAATTCCCATCTCACAGCAGAGAAAATAGAGGCTTAAATGTCACAAGGGTTAAATGAACCTTGGGATATGAGCAGAGCCTAACTGCTATAGCCCAGCACTGTACTGGAAGGTGGGGACAGTCCCAGATGCCTGTCTAGCTCAGGACCGACCTGGGGCTGCATTCAACAACAAAGAGCTGTAAGCACCACTATTACTCGGCTGAAGGTGCTGAGAACAGTCTTTGTGCCAGGCTCAGAGCTTGAAGGAGCAGCAAGAACAGAGCAGATGTGGCACCTGTGTCTCTGGAACATGGGACACAAAGAAACAAACCAGAGAAAACACAAGGATGAACTGAACAGAATGAAGGCAACGGGCCTACCGCCTGCCGGGGAGAATGAAACCGGGGAACCCAATTTAAATCCAGGGGGTCCAGGAGGCAGGGAAATGCATCTCTGGAAGGATGACTTTTCTGAGGCACCCATGGAGGAAAACAGATGCCGCCCAGGGAAAAGGAAAGAGAAGAGTGTGTTTGGGCTCCATGTAGAAGACAGAGCTCACACAAAGGCCCTGGGGCAGGAAAACACATGGGCTCATTTCAGAGGGCTGAAGAGAGAGTGCTAAAGGCTTGGGGCTAAGATGGTCTGATCCAGGCCACCCAGGGTACCAAGCATGTGAACCCCAAAGAGTTTTTACAAAGAAAGGGTTGTGATGTGGTTTTTGTATTGAGCCACATCCTTGCAGCTGCTGTCAAGAGGCTGATGTGAACAGGAGGGGACCCCAGAAGAGTGTCTCAGCTAAGGATGGCAGCAACCAAAATGGAGACAACACTGGCTTCCCCTGTTTTCATGGCCTTCTAACTTGTCCAGTCCTGAGCGACCTCGCCCATTTAACTGGGTCAAGGGTGTCCTCCAGAAACAGAAGGGCATTGTACAAGACTCAAACAGTGAGGGTTGGCTCTGTTTGAGGTTCCTGTCTCACTTATTGCCCATCACATGACCCTTAGGAGAGGTGAGGACGTGGGTCAAGCGGTCGCTCGGACACAGACTGGACTGCAGGAGTTCGCTGTCTTTGGACTTTTCTCCTTGTGTTCTTAAGGAATCATCAACCTCAAGTTTCATGAATTCTTGGTTTCTGTTTGTTTTATGATACAGGGTCGCATGTAGCCCAGGCTGGCCTTGAGCCCAGGGTGTAGCGATCACTCTTTAGTCTAAGGTGGGTGAGCAGAGAGTCCAGCTCCTCCTGCTTCCACCTCCCTAGCACTGGGCTTACAATCACATGCCCCTTGCCTAGCTTTGTGTTCATGTGTGCATGCACGTGTGTAGAAGCCATGGACTGACATTAGGGGTGTTTCTCAATCACTCTCCACCTTATTCATTGAGACAAGATCTCCCACTGAACTGGTAGCTCACTCTTCTGGTGGTCAAACTGGCCAGTGAGCTCCAGAACCCTGCCTGTCTCTATCCCTCATAGTGTTGGGGTGACAGGCACGATGCTGCCACATCTGACTTTTTGCATGGGTGCTGGGGACCTGAGCTTCGGTTCTCAAGCTTGCATGGCAAGAACTTTTAAGGCTGAGCCACCCCCACAGCTCCAGTGCCCAGATTCTTAATCATGTGCTCTAGGGAGTAAATGAAGTTCCTCATCTTTGCAAGGTAAAACATTTTACCACCTAAGCCATCTCCCCAAATCTGGCCTTTTAACCAAGAGAGAGCACAGCACCAGCCACCCTCTAGGAAATGAGACCTGTGACTACAAGGCTGGAGACACTGATTTAAGACAGTCTTCCTCAGACATGCCCACAGACCAGCCCAACATGGGGCAGTCCCTCACTATCTTCCCAGGTGATTCTGGGTTATGTCACATTGACATTAAAGCTAACTATCCCAAGGTGGTTGGCGACTTCAGTGTCTTGTTTGTCTTTGAGGAATGGGACTCCAAAGAAGCAATCAGTTAGCACACAGTATTTATATGAATAAAATCAGAGGGGACTTCCCATGCTAGCACCATGCCCACTATCTCACAGTTGGCAGAGGTGACAGGTTTGATAGACACATGCTACACCCTGTTTTGGTTTCCAGAAGAGCAGACAGAAAGTAAGTGACTCTCGGGATGAGAAGGATCTAGCCCTGTCTGATACAGCTATTGCCCAGTGCCCAATGCAAGGCCCTTAGGAATATGGCTAGTGATGGGACCTAGGAGAGGTTCCCATCTCCTTCCAGTTTCACCCCACCTCCTGCTTTAGCCAACCAACCACAGGTTCATCCTGAGCCCTCTAAAATATGGTAGACTGTATGCCAACCTGTGCCATGGGTGCCCAGGCTGCATAACTCTCAACATGGCCAAACAGCCCTGATTATAGTGTGATCCCCTGGAATCAGATGATGCTCTGAGGTGCCCTGAGATGTAGGCTGGTGTGCCCTGGTGGGTTGGGAAGTGGTCAAAGCATATCAAGGACTCAGAGCCTCTGGATGGCCTGGTTCTGACTCCCTAAGCGGAGGTGGTTAGATCGGAGAGACACATCATACCTCCTGATCCAAGCATAGCCAGGACTGTGGGCTACTGTTGTGAGAAGGAGAGGTCAGAAGCTTGGACTTGGGGGAATGTTCTGGTCTCATGGAGGCCCACATGGGAGGCACAGCTGCATGGAAGATGGAACCACAGGAAGACCGCAGCACCTTGACTCAGAAGACGGACCCGAGCAGGCTTTCAGGGCTCAAGGAAGCGCTGGGAGGAGGTGACAGAGTTTAAGACATGAGCTTTTGTTTCCGCTGTTTCTCTGCCTTTCATCTTGGGTGCCTCGAGTCCTGCTTGAGAATAGAGTATAAATAAATGATCAAACAATATGACAGTGCTCATTCCCCGCCAGCCGGTGACCTTGAAAGGGTCTTCAAAATGCCTTTGTTCTCTTCTCTCTCTTGTCACTCTTGTTCCACTCAACAACACAGTCTGGCCCAGCTCAGCACACAGGCAGGAGCCCTGCCTCTACCCTCAAACAGCTTCACAGTCTGATGGCACAGTGGGCACCAAGCAGAGCCCCAGCATACCAGCATCCCGAGCCTGGAGGCCACTGTGATTCTGGGGCTCTCAATCTGAGTGATGTAGGAACCATAGACTGAGCTGGCGAATGGGCATCCTTTATCCGCTCAGATCTTACAGGCTCTGCATGCATTAGCCCAAGCGTGGGGGATCATGCGGTAGAATCAGGGGGTCTTCCAGTCACTGGAGCATGCAAAGGATGCTGGAGGTGCTGATCTGTATGATACAGTCAGGGAAGTCTGCAGTTTGGAATTTGGCGTTGTTAATATATGACTAGCATTCACGTGGCTATCCCAATTGTCTCCAAGGGTCCTGACATGACATAGGAATGGGATGAAGACCTCACAGGTGTAAATAGCTGTGGTCTGTCCTACAGAACAAGAGCAAAGCCATATCAACATGAGGGTGCAGTCCCTGTGTAGATCACATTGGCCTGAAGCATCCGATCATTCTGTGTCTGCCTGCAATGACCCAGAAGAAACTCCTGGGCTGTTCTTGAATAGCAGGTACCAAGCAGAGTCCAAGCCCCTTCTGTATTTTCCCAGCTACATTTCTCTGCTTCAATTTCTTGGTCCTGAAAACAGGCGCATGCCTCCTTTCAGAGCACTGAGACCAATGAGCTATGACAACAGATGCCACCGTGACTTCCATTTAAGGCCTACGTGCCACTAGCCAGCCCAGCCTGCTACCACTGATCTGTGATTGGCTCGCACTAGTAGTAAGCATGCTCTGAGAGAACATAAGTATCTGTCAGGTAAGAATGGGAGCCTGTTTGTGGACAGCACAGGTCTCCCAGCCTCAGGCTACCCTTCCTGGATGCCACAGGACTGTCCCCTAGAGAACAAGCATTGAAGACAAAGGGCCACCTGCTGCTGCATGAGACCTGTTCTCAGCACCTGTCATAGCACACCACATGCAGGGAACAGAGGAGTCCTATTGCAGAGACGAATGCCCTGGGTATTGGATCATGAGCCAGGGGTGGCCACAGGGGCTGGCTAGGGCAGGGCATTTACAAGAAGGTGCTGATGAGGGTACAGAATGAGAGTCTAGGGTATAGCATAGGGCAGAGGTACCAGCTACTGATGTGGGATGTCCTTCTATATGCTGTCAATATGTGTTGCTTTTATTGGTTGATAAAGTTGTTTCGGTCAATGGCTTAACAGAGTAAAGCCAGGCAGGAAACTGAAGTGGGGGAGGGGGTGTGGAGTCAAGGAGATTCCATGTTGCCGCCAAAGGAAAGAGGACCAAATATTATTGAAAAGCCAGGAGCCCCATGGTAAAAATAAAAACTATTAGGAATAGATTAATTTGTAGTTAGAACTAGTCAGTAAGAGGCCTAAGCCACTGGTCAAACAATTGTAACTCAGCATGGTTAGTTGGGAACTGGCGGGTGGACAGAAAGCCACCAACTCCCCACAAGCTACCTTCCCAGGGCCGGGTGATACTCCTGCTACTGCTCCCTCTTTTAAGGAAGCAAATTTGTTCTCTTTCTACTCCAGACTTGAGATCCAAGAAGACAGAGACCCTTGTAAGTGGAGTTTAGGTCATGTACCTCAGAGCAGGCGTGTCCCCTCAAATAACAGTGTTGAGAGACTGGGTCCAAAGAGGGAAACGATTTCCTGTGAGATTGCCATTTAAGAATGGGAAGTGATGAGAGCAGATCTGGTGGTGCGGCTCAATGGCAGGTTCCTCGTGTAGCACAGAACAGGCCCTTGGTTCCACCCCCAACACCACCAAACCAAACCAAACAGGTTTTGTGTGTATGTGACTCCACCCCCATCTCTGTGTGTGGAGACGGCAAAGGACCTAATGGGAAAGGTCCTGCAATAGATCATCCTGAGACGCACTGTTGGGGACCCCATGAACCCCCATATTAAAGCCTCTGCTGCCACTGGCACCCTTCCTCTTTTGGACCACGCAAACAGCAGCAGGATCAGGACCCCTCCCTGAGAGATAGGAAACGCTTTACTCTGCCCTTTGGAGGAAGAGCCACCTCTTTTCCGAGCACCTACTTTGTGCTCAGCCTCCAGGGAACCCTGAGATAACAAGTCCATCACCCAGCGCTTCTCAGTGGGGATTAAACAAGGGGGCACTGCTGGAATCTAGCCTCTGTCTGTCCTGAAGCTGGAATACCCTCACTTCCAGATGCCGCAGAGTAGACTAAGCTCTCATTCATCCTGCCCTTCCAAGAGGGCTGGGCTCATCTCCAGGACGCACCTCTCAGCATCTTCTGTGATCATCATTCACCGAGCCTCCTGCCCATGAGTCTCCAGTTTCATCGTTAGCTCACTGAGCAGTGGCAGCATTCCCAACCTCATTCAGGAATCTCCATCTTTTTCCGAACACTAGGGACAGCCCAGAGGTGGGGGTGGGGCCAGGTGACCTGAGTGCCTTCAAGTTAGCACCTTTTTTCTTGGCCACCCACAGGCAGGGCTTTTGGTCCAGTGGGCTCCGTCCACCCTGGTGCAACTTTGCTGAGTCCTGAATCTGTGTTCCTAAACCATAGCAGAGGTGTAAGAGAAGCCTGGGACACACACACGGCTTATGAGGGTCGGACAGCATGGGTGTGATAAGGACACTGTATGCTTAGATGTGCTGACGGCAAGGGACCTGCTGCGAAGACCAACAAACCTAGTTACTTCCATGGCACCAAGAGAGGACTCATGAGTAGAACTGAGCCACTGGGTCCCAGATGAGAAAGGCGTGGTGTGACTACCCTCCTTTGATAGTTAAAGGCATTGAGGGTTAGTGTGGGGCTTGTTGAAACGTCCATTTTAGAGATCTTGATGATAGTGGTAGTCACAATCCTGATCACTCCTGTAAGGGCCTCTAAGCTTTATCTCAGTCCATTCCTGTCACGCCTCCCCAGTGAAATGCCATTGTCTCTTCTACTGGACAAAGCAACACCAGAGGCCCAGGGGGCCAGGTGACTCTCCTGTGGTCACACAGCAGGTAATGAATGCCAGCTGCAACTTTTTAAAGTTCCTTCCAAGCTCTAGCTAGGATGTGGGCCACTTGGGTACACGGGTAGGGTACGGCCCACAGAGGCCCTGAGAGCTCAACTTCTCCTCGCCCCCCCTCACATGAGCCACATGGAGCAAGCTCAGGGATCCAACAGGTTTCCACCCTAGAGTCAGCCAGGGCCAGCAGCCCAGCCACCTGCAGCTAGAGGCCAGCGTCCCTCACACCGTCAACCACAGACAAAATATGGTGTCGAAACCCCTGGTGTGTTAGAAATAATTACTTGACCGGTTCAAATTAAGAAAAAAATGTTAACCTTGTAACCAATACCCCTAGACCCCTCTGTGAATCAAGAAGAGCCCTGCTGTCCTCCCTCCCTGTGGGTAGTCTGAATTTTTCCTTTTACCTATGGGTTCTGGGGAATCAAACTCGGGTCATTAGGTTTGGCAGTAAGTTCCTTTGCCCACTGATCCATCTTTCTGGCCCTCAGTCTCTTTTCTTTCCAATGAAAGCTCATTGACAAATACATTATTTGGTAATTGAAGACCAAAGCCTATTAGTGTCACCATACACAGTGGGATGTCGTCTTGATACCTGGGTATGCATGTTGACAGTCCCCTCAGGCGTTCCAAGCTGACCAAGATGTCCAGGGGCTTGCTGAGGAGCTGCAAACTCCCAGATAGAGAACTGGAAAATCTGGCACCTGGGCCTCCTAGCTGTGAACTCTTGGGTAAACTCGGGTCCCACTTTTCTCATTTCGAAGCTTGCCTATGCCTCCAGGCGTCTGGCCACTCTGGACTGAGGGCACGCAGTGAGTCTCAGACCCAGATCTATGAGCTGAGGGCAAGACTCATATGCTCAGTGCTTGAGTTGCCTCCTGAGTCCACACAGCTTCAGACTGAGGGCAGCCCAAGCCTCCAATGCAGAACTAGCGTAGCACATCTTGTAGTGCAGGAAGCTGAGATGCCAAGGAATGAGCCCATCCCCTATTCCCCTCTCAGCCTGGCTCTAGACTGAGCTGTTCCATGGCCTTGCCTCCTTCCTCTTAAGTTGTAGAGGGAGGAGCAAAGGCTACTTCTTCCCCACTGTGGTTGGTACCCATGAGGGCCACCATTGTTATTCCCGTGTCGCAGGAGGACAGAGACACAGACTCATTATATAAACCCAGTGGTCTGACTAGTGCTAATGCGGTCCCTCTGCCCACTGCAGAGGCCCCTACCTTATGCACATAACAGACAGCAGTTATGTAGAAGACAGGAACGTGGCAGGGCCAGGAGTGTCCAAGACAGGTCCCAGTCACAGAGTGGGCTAGTAGGAGGCTGGAGGAACGGAGACAGAAAGAGGAGGAGGATGTCTCCAGAAACTCTATACACTATGGCAGAGTGTGGAGCAACTGAGGAACACAAATTTGGGTTGCTGATTCTACCCCCTGGAAAGGGACTGTGGGGTCAACAAGGCAGGAGGTGGCACCTGGGGCACAAAGCTGCCTGGGGCAGGTGAATGATGGTGCCCCCTCCAGACCCCAACAACCTCCACCCTTGAGGGTCCTGTGGTCACCAAATCTGGATTCCTGACCTCTGTGTCCTTCTCTCAATGGCCCTGAGTTTTATAAGGCTCAAGATCCCACAGTCAAGGGATTTATGGGTGCTGAGTAAGATGGGTTCTTCATTTTTGTGTTCATGAGACACCTAACAGCGAAGGGAACTCACCATGAAGGATGTGGAGTGGTCTGACTGAGCAGAGCAAGGGGGTGGCTCTGTCTGTACCAGCACATAGTAGGTATTCAGAGAATTTATAGGACGAACATAGCTGAAGCCAGGGCTTCTGCAGGTGAGTGAGGTTCAGGACCCCAAGAGAGGCTTTTTCCAGCCTGTCTCACTCCAGATCTTGTTCACCGGGGACATTTATCAGACCTACTACGCTCCAGGCACTTTCCCCCTTAATTTGCTTCTCAAAGGCACACAGTGGTTCTGTGAGGTGCGGCAGGGTAAGAATCTGCCATATACTCCAGGAGAATGTACAGAGCTGGAATTTAGACTAAAATTTAATTAACTCCAGAATCCTCTTTCTTAGTCATTCCTTTACTGATTCTCAAAACTCCAATCTCGGGATCTTGCGTCTTTAGTTTAACCATCTGTTGTTCAATATTTGAGGTCTGTGTTATGGTAGTTCAGACATTTACACTGTAGTATGAATGTATATTTTGATGAGAGCATCTGGGTTATGCATATGTTAATCAAATGCCCACATTAATATTATTACTGTGTTAATGTCATCACTTGAGTGTCTACTACTTGTCAAGACCATTATGAGCCCTTTAAAGTCATTAAACCATTTCGCCTTCATAACCCTCTGGGACAGTGAAAATGACATTTCAACACCCCCCCCCCGGGCCTCTCCCTGCCCTCTTGCCCTTATATGAAGCTTCCCTCTTGCCTTTCCATGAAAGCATGCCCTACAGACCCGGTTGTCCCAGGAGGTGGAAACTCTGTGACCTTGAACATGTCCCTTGAACGTCCCTGCTGAGCAAATAGTCACCAGGTAAGAGGGATGCTGCTTCACCAGATAAAGTACCTGAGTGATTTCCTGCGTCACTTAGAGCCCACGGAGGTGGCTCTGGGGTGGAGGGATCCCTAGCAAATGCAAGGAGACAGATTCCATATCCCACAGGAAAACAAACAAACAGACAAGCTGAAGGCCAGCTTGGGAAACTTAGTGAGACCTTGTCTCAGAATAAAAAGCAAAAAGATGCCTGGGAACGGGTGAGCACTTGCTTAACATGAGTCAATACGATTCTAGATTCAGTCTCCGGTCACAAAAGGAAGAGAGAAATTCCCAGACCACCCTGTGTGGTAAGGTGCTCCCAGCCTCACTGACAATCAGGAAGAACAGCTGCACCCTGAACACAAGCAGCGAGGAAATAGTCACGTGGTCTTTTAACCAGAATGCCCTAGATTTGAGGCCCACTGAATTGTTCTCTGCCACAGACCGCTCTTTGGGTTTTAAGCCTCTCCTCTGAGTGTCTCCACATCCCACAGCCTCTCCTTGTCCCGGACCCTGTTGTTGTCCACACCAATTTCATCAGTGTGGTACAGTAAGACATTTTGAGGGAGGGAGGGAAAGATATGTTCCCATAACTTTCATTACACGCCATTGTCTCTTTTATTATTAGTTGTTAATCTCTTATGTGCCCAACACATAAATTGAGCTTTATTACAGGTTTGCATGCGTAAGGAAGCCACAGAATCCAAGGTTCTAGATGACAGGTGCTTTCAAGCTTCTGTTGTCACTCACAGAAAGAGCCACCTCTGCCCCCAATGCCCTCCCTTCCATTTTCTGTCCCCACACAAAAATGACCCAGAGAGGTGGACAAGTGACCATTAGAATTCTGGCATCTAGCTCAGACCTAATACATCCAATGAAGGAAGGAGCCAGTCCAAATGGCTCTAATACTGATCACTTCTGACTTTTTACCTAAGACTTAAGTCCAAAAAACAAACAAAAACAAAAAGCAAAGCAACAAAACTTTAAAGGCATTGTCTCATGTAGCTCAAGCTAGCCCTTAAGTCCCTCTGCAAAGATGGTCATGAACTTCTTGTTGTCCTGCCTCAGTCTCCTGAGTGCTGGGATCACAGGCAGGCACTATCATGCTTGGTTGATGGAGTGTTAGGGGTTGAACCCAAGGCTTCATGCATGCTAGGTGAGTGTTCTATCAACCGAGCTGCATTGCCGGAACCCCAAAAACAGGTTCTTACATCTAAATTATTGACTTTTCACTAAGTCTTTAGCCAATCTACCAGCTTATCCAAACAGTGCACCCAGCCTCCAGCTCCTCTGTCCCCCTGACTCTGGAAAGCCAGGACCCAGGTAACGCAGGCCAAAGAGAGGGACAGTCACTCAGGAATCACAGTCTAGTAGCCTCTGGGTCCCAAACAACTCAGGCTGCATAGCCACACTCCCCAAATGCCATGTGCTCCTTATAAACCACCTTTCTGTCCCTCCTCCTCCCACAGCACCCACAGGGCCCCCACACCCCAAGACTCCTCCTGAGCCAGAAGCGGGGACTCTTGTCTGTTTCCTCCCCTCCTCTCATTCTGAGCTGTGTCCCCAAAGCTTGCCCAACACTGTCAACAAGTAGGAGAAAAGTAGCTGACAAAGAGGCCAGAGACGCTCGACCACACACAGCCTGTCCTTCCCGGGTAGTTGCTGGAACATACTGTACTTCATTGATTCTCCTTTGAGTCCATTGAGTATTCTGACCTCGTCTCTCTTTATTCCGACATGCAGGTGCGGAGCCAATTCTTCCTTAAGTGAACTCAATAACGGCTTCCGCCCAAGCCTCACTCATCCTCAGTGGCCATCCCAAGTGGCAGGCTAAGTGCCTTGCCACCTCTCCAGATTTGTGGCACTTGGGGCAGCCTTCCTGCAAGGCATTCTCATAGCTTGTATGCAGAGGGTCTATCCATGCAACCATTGAGCTCGACACCAGCAGAAGCAAACTTGTGACAGCTACAGAGTACCAGGAACCGTGTCACGTGTTAAGCACACACAACGTGAGTTTGAGGCAAGCGGTTGACCAGGCCAGCGACCTTGACAATCTGCCTCCTGATGTTTCTCTGAAGCCTGGCTACAGGTCACTGCAGCCCTGAGGTCAGCCTCTCTGGTCACAGTCGTGTCTCCGCCAGCTCTCAGAACTTGCTAACCCTCCTGCCATCACTGCCTGTGGGGCGGGAGTTTTAAAGCGGCATACATCAATTGGAAAAGTGGATTATCCCCAGTTAGTGACTAATAATAAGATAATAATGCTATAACCGCCCTCAAAAGTGCGTAGGAGCTGAAGAAAATGTGGCAAGAGCCGAAAAATTGAATTAAGTTATGCAAAAAAAGAAAGAAAAACCAAAAGCGTGTGGCCTTGCGAAGAGGCAAAGAGCAGTTAATTTAGTGTCAGAATTAAATTACTCCCTGTTGTAGATGAATTTAGCATGGCAAAATGAAGAGGAATGTATTTAAACAATTCTGGGCTTATAAATCCAATCAATCGTCAGCATCTTACTAAGATGTCTTGGTTCACATTTTTACATTTTTAACCTGTGACATCTTCCCACGGTTCTCAGCGTGGCCGGGGCTGTGTGCCACCCCTCAGCACTCCACGCAGCTCTGCCCTACAAACTCACTGCTTCCTGGTTCCAAGTCTGCACCTGGGATTCACACACACACACCTGAGCATCGCCCCAGGTCCCCACACTGCCTCCTCATCTTCCCTCCGGTCTCAGCTAGATGGCCTTCTCACCTTCCCCTCCTTCTACTTCTTACATGACGCAGTCTACTTGCCAGCTACTGTGGCACACTACGAGAGGTGAGATCATTTACAAAGGAGAGAGGTCTTGTTTAGGGTTGGGCTGCTTGGGAGCCAATATCCCACATGGGAGGCATTCGAAAAGCCTATCAGTGCAGGAGTGGCAGAAGAAACAAGGGCCAAACTCTCAAGAGAGCTTCCCCACTCCTGTGAGAAAAACATTCAGTCCCATACCTTCTAATGCCTTCCTCTGAGCCCCACCATTTTTTTTGCACATTGTTTCCAGCCTATGGACTTCTGGGAGTCCATTCTCACTCCAGCATCTGGCTCTCATCCCGGCACCACCCTGCAATCAGAAACGACCCTCTACGGGCAATGCTGCAGTTCCAGGCTCAGGGATAGGATGGGGTGGTGATGAGTGGTAGTGGCAAGGGTTGAGGCGCCAGAAATCTGTGCCACTCACTCACCATGGCCCGGAGCGGGAACCAGACCCCATGGGCCTAGCTCTTCTCATCTGTGAAATTGCCCCCCTCAGGGGCCAATTTTGAGGATCTGATAAATGACTGGAAGTAAGGCAAGTCCAACAAAGCCTAGAAATATTGCAGTCCTGTGTGTGTGTGTGTGTGTGTGTGTGTGTGTGTGTGCGCGTGCGCGTGCCACACCCTATTTGTGAAGGTCAGAAGACAGTGTGGACTGAGACAATGGGGATGTTCTATTGGGAACTCACCAAGGCCAGCTGGCCTGGGTCTGAAAAAGCCTGGGATAAAACCGGACTCGCTGAACATAGCGGACAATGAGGACTGATGAGAAGTCAAGAACAATGGCACTGGGTTTTTGATCTTACTGCACGTACTGGCTTTGTGGGAGCCTAGGCAGTTTGGATGCTCACCTTACTAGACCTGGATGGAGGTGAGTGGTCCTTGGACTTCCCACAGGACAGGGAACCCTGATTGCTCTTTGGGCTGACGAGGGAGGGGGACTTGATTGGGGGAGGGGGAGGGAAATGGGAGGCGGTGGCAGGGAAGAGACAGAAATCTTTAATAAATAAATAAATTTAAAAAAAAAAAGAAGACAGTGTGGAGGAATCAGCTCTTTCCTTCCACTATGTGGGCTCCAGGGAGATTGAACTCAGGTTCACAGGCTCGACACCAAGCATCTTTAGAGCTGCCGAGTCATTTCACTGGCCCCTGTGTGCATATGTCAACTTTTTTGTTTGCTTTTGAGACAGGGCCTCACATAGCCCAGGCTGGCCTCAAACTCCTCACGTAGCCAAGGAAGACCTTGAACTCTTGATCCTCCTGCCTCCATCCAGAGCTAAGATTGCAGGTGTGTTTTACCACACGTGGTTTACACGCTGCTAGGGATTGAAGCTGGAGCCTTGTGCATAGTAGGCAAGCACTCTATCAACTGAGCTACATCCCCAGCCCTAAAGCTTTTTAAATATGGGCTATCTCTGGCATGCACTAAGATAGGGAAGGCACAATAGACCCCTGCTAACTCACCACCAAGTCCCCAGGATGATCTTCATCTGGACTTTCACCCATTTTTTTGTCACTCAGGCGATCTAGAAACAGATTTCAAGTATCATAATCATATCTTTTTGTTTGTTTATTGTTGTTATTTTTGTTTTTCGAGACAGGATTTCTATGTTGCTTTGGTACCTATCCTGGAACTAGCTCTTGTAGACCAGGCTGGCCTCAAACTCACAGAGATCCACCTGCCTCTGCCTCTCAAGTGCTGGGATTAAAGGTGTGTGCCACCACCACCCGGCCGTAATCATATATTTGTACATTCTGCTAAGTTTCCCTAAAATAAAGAGAGGGATTTTTGTCTGTTGGCTTAATTTGCTTTGAATTTCGGGAGAAGAATCTCATTATTTAGCCCAGGCTAGCCTAGAACTTGAGATCCTCCTGCCTCAGCCTCATCAGTACTGGAATCACAGGTGTGTACAACCATGCCCAGCTGGGGGCTCTTTTTAAAACATAACCACAATATTTTTATCACACCAAAAAAAATAAAGAACACAGGACCATCATCATAACCTGAACCTGACCTATGTCTGCCTGAGCCATCTCTGTATCTAAGGACCTTAGGGACAGGTTAGCCCATGTGGGGAGTTCGAAGCTCCGGAGTGACATGCTTCTAGCTCTCAGCACCTCAGACGTCTCTGTTTTGTAGGCTGGTCCACCCTGTGGCCATTTACCCACTGGCTACTTTGGGCTGCTGTTTCATACCGTGGCACTCAACTTGTGGGTCGTGACCCTTTGGGGTCACATATCAGATAATTACAACTTGTTGGATATTTGTGATTCCTAACAGTAGCAAAATTACAGTTATGAAGTGGCAATGAAATAATTTTACGCTTGGGGGTCCCCACAACACGAGGAGCTGTGTAGATGGAGCTGTGGACCTGCTTTTCATCTTGCTCTGCTCCCGGCCGCCTGGCTCCTGCACGGCTAGCTTAGCCCTGGAAATAACAACACACAAACTGTATTCTTTTAAGCACCACATGTAGTAATAGGAGCGGCGGGCCACTTCCCACCACCCGGCTAGCTTTACACCCAAAATAATTACATGGAAACTGCATTCTTTTAAACACTGCCTGGCCCATTAGTTCTAGCCTCTTATTGGCTAATTCTCACAACTTGATTAACCCATTTCTAATAATCTGTGTAGCACCACAAGGTGGGCTTACCAGGAAGGATCTTTTTTATTTAATTTATTTATTTATTAAAGATTTCTGTCTCTTCCCCGCCACCGCCTCCCATTTCCCTCCCCCTCCCCCAATTAAGTCCCCCCCCCTCAGCCTGAAAAGCAATCAGGGTTCCCTGTCCTGTGGGAAGTCCAAGGAACCCCCACCTCCATCCAGGTCTAGTAAGTTGAGCATCCAAACTGCCTAGGCTCCCACAAAGTACATTCATCTTGGAGAGGAGAGCTATATCATCTGTCTCACTGCCTTCTTCCTCCCAGCATTCTGTTCTGTCTTCCCCACCTACCTATGTTCTGACCTATCAGACCAAGCAGTTTTCTTTATTAATTAACCAATGAAAACAACAGATAGATAGAAGACCCACCTACATCAGAGCTGTATTAAAGGGTCACAGCATTAGGAAGGGTGAGAAGCACTAGCTGAACAGCTACAGCTCTGGGGTAGAGGATGAGAGGAACTGAGGAGAGGAACGAGCAGCAAGAACATTCCAGACACCTTTGCTCCCTGACAGAAAGCTCGATCCATCTTAGACACCAGAAGACTGTGAGAACTCAGACACAGCTGAATATGATCACTGCAGGTTTGTGTCAAAGAAGGAATAACCAGGTGCAGCTAGAGCCCACGGAAAAGAAATATCCATGGACGGCATGGCTTGCTGGCCGCCAGGACAAATGAAGTCCTGTTGTATCCGGCCTGAGGGGTGTGAATGAGGAAGTGGCTCACAGAGCAGGACGGAGACAGCCCAGAGCTAGAGCTGAGCGCTCAGGAGCCTCAGACACACAGCAGAGCCGCTGCTCCGATCCAGTGGGAAAGGAGACATTGTTTATTAATGATGCCTGTTCAAGCCGCTATCTTTCGGAAGCGAGTTAAACCTCATGTTACATTATACACGCAAGCCCCAAGAGGACTGGAGAGCTAACAGCCAAAAACATTTTTTTAAAAGCAATAGATATCTTGAAAGAAAATGTAGGAGATGGCAAAAAAATATAGTCTCGGGTATCAAAAAATAGTCATGTTTCAAAAGAAAGACACAGGGCTGGGGAGCTGACTCAGCAGGTAGGAGCGCTTATTGTGCAGGCATGAGAACCTGAGTTAAATTCCCAGCACCCACATAAGAGCCGGGTGTGGCCACACATATTCCTAATCCCAGAGGTGGCAATCAGAGCTAGGAGGATCCCTGGAGCTGAATGACCACCCAGCCTAGCCCAAAATGTTCAGTTTCTGACTCAGAGCAGAACCTGTCTCTTGTCAGTAAGATGGAAAGCTATAGAGCAGGTCCTCCCACGCCCTCCTCTGCCCCTTGTCACCGCCCCCAATAAATTAATTACTTTCAAAGTAAAAAGATTTCATTACACAAGCATTATTTTTATGACAATAGATGTCACCTGTAAAATCAGTACAAAAACAAGCGCTTTGCGCCTAAGACTATTTGCAACTCAGTTGTCACACAGAAAGTTAATGCCTACGCGTGTAAAGAGCAGCTACTCACTCAAGGCATACAAGGAGGGTTAGAGCTGGACAAAGACAAGGCTAGGCGGGACATGGCATGCAGCTAAGTGGTCAGTCAACCTATTAAAGATGATCACGTTTTTACCAGAAATTGGAATCTTAGGGATTCTGAGATTTCACGTGGTCTGCCTCACTCAGTAGAAATCCGAAATGATGGGAACACCCTGATGCTGTAGAGGCTGAAGGAGAACAGGTGGCCCTGAAATTGCTGGAGAGAGCAGGGAGGTGTTACAAGGTTTTCTAGTGAGCACTCTGACAACATGGTCTAACATAAGAATATGTGTGTGTGTGTGTGTGTGTGTGTGTGTGTGTGTGTGTGTGTGCCCTTCCATTGAGTAACCCCACTACTGGAACTGTAGTTGGTAGGGATGAAAGCTCTCATTGGAGAAAGCGTGTACAAGAATATTTAGAGCAGCTGGAGATAAAGCGAATGGCTGTCGGTGAGAAAAGATTCGATGGAGAAGTCAGAGCACTCATCCCTGGGAAAGGCGAAGTACTGCCATCTTAAGACGGGGCCTGAGAATGCTGCAGGCCTGGAGAGGGGCCCCCTGCTGTGGCTGCGTGAATGGGGGGAGAGAGATGAAGCCCCATTGACAAGTGTGGGTCTGTGAGGTTGGCTCCACGGCCGCCGCTCTGAAGTGTGCTTTGTGACTGTGCACGAGTAGAAACACAGTCACCAGAAGGGACATGAAAGAGACACGAGGGAGATGTGACTGCAGGGAGGAGGTGACGAGCAGGAAGAGAGGGCAGCAGAGGGTGGAGAGGGACACGCCTGCAGGCTTGAGCCAGTTGGTAAACCAAGGGGTCTGTGAAAGGTTCCTGACACAGAGGAAGCAGGGTGTGCCTGACCTCTGTTAGGGGCTGGCTTCTGAGAAGAGCAGGTTGGGTGTGATGGCATGAGATCAGAATCTACAGCTACGTCTAAAGAGCTGGGGGGAGGAGGGGGACACTGCAGCCTCTGTCCTCCCTGGAGCACCCTCTGTCCTCCCGGGAGGACCCTCTCAACATCACAGTCCTGGAGCTTTCTATAATTAACCCCTACTGAACCAGACAGTCATACCTTTCTATTGCCCTGATGAAGAAAGTGGCACTCTTGGATGAAGAAGTACCTTCCCACAAGCCTTTGGGGCTCAGTCCCAAAGTAGTTCCATCCACTACCCGCCCCATCAAGGTTGACAGAATGCCCTTAGAATAGGGCCAGCCTTGGCTAAGCACCAGAGCCCAGCCCAGGGAGGAAGACATGGGCTCAGTTCACAGGGCAGAAGAGGAAGGGCAGGTGGTTCACACAGCCTCTCCACACTCTGGAACCCTGTGTAGTGGTCAACACTTCCAGACAGGCAGAGAACAATATGCAGACTAGAGATCTAACATTTGATGCTTATTTGGCTTGGTATGTTCCCTCCCCTGAGCCTCAATCCCCTCCCATCCCAAGGTTTTCATAGCAGGAGAGAAGAACATACCCAGGACGCAATAGGTGATTCCCAAATATGGAGTCCCACAGCAGGAGAAACTCGAGGCTGGAATCTCCACACCACCACTCCTAAGCAAGATTTCTCTGTGTAACTCTGACTGTCCTGGAACTCTCTCTGTAGTCCAAGCTGGCCTCAAACTCACAAAGATCCACCTGCCTCTACTTCTTCCTGAGTGCTGCAATTAAAGGCACCACCTGGCTCAGGGCTGGAATCTTAACTCTCTCATCCTAGCTGTGTGACCTAGGGCACACTGCCTAACATCTCTGTGCTTTGACCTGTGCGTCTGCAAAGTGAACAACATGACAGAACTTCCCAGAAGGGTTTGTGGTGAAGTTTAAAGATGCTCAAGCATTGCGAAGGGTGCAGTCCTGGCGCACAGTCCATGCTCAGCAAGTGATCTGCTAAGAACTGTCAACGGGCTCTGTCTGGAAGAGGGTTTGCTGTGACATGCCTTTCTGCTCCTCCTCTTGCCCTGCCCTTTGAAGACCAGTGCTGTCTCTATGGAGGTCTGCTCTGCTGAAGTCCTGAAAGACGCCAAGGCCAGGGGTAAGGATGTGTCTCGGGCAGAGTGCTTGCCCGGTGTGCATAAAGCTCTGGGTTTTACCACCAGCACCTCCAAAAATTGGATGTGGTGGTACACGCCTGTAATCCCAGTCCTTGGGAGATGAAGGCAGGAGAATTAGAATTATAAATTTAAGGTTAAGAGGCTAGAGAGATGGCTCAGTGTTTAAGAGCACTGGCTGCTCTTCCAGAGGAACTGGGTTCAATTCCTAGCACCCATATGGCAGCTGACATCTATCTGTAACTCCAATCCCAAGAGCTCTAAGCCCTCTTCAGGACTTTACACACATGGGGTGCACAGACAGACATACA